TTGACCCTCGAAAACAACAAATTCACTGGCTCTATACCTGATTTCCGCCGTGGCCTTCTCAAACTCCTCAATGTATCCAACAACCAACTCGAGGGTCCAATCCCTCCTTCTCTTTCTTTAATGGATCCAACAACATTCGCAGGTATCATTGGTTAATTTAATTATGTACCGATCTAGCCTTTTTAATTTATTATTATTATACATATACATGACAGGGAACAAAGGCATGTGTGGGAAGCCTTTGGAATCAGTTTGCAACTCCCCAATTCCAGAAGCAAATACTACTACTCCGCCTAACAGTCTCAACTCTACCATCAGCACCCAATTATCTGGTGATATAAATAAGAAGTCTCCCTCTCTCCTGAGTAGAGTGATGTTGATCGTTGCAGTTTGTTTGGTGGTCTTATGTCTCGTGATTGTGTTAATTCTTATCATTCGCCGCCGCAGCAGCAGCCAAAATAATTCACAACTCACCAGCCGGGCTGTTGAGTCAAATAATATTGATGGGGATCAAAACATGACCTTTTCATCATCAGCTCTTCCTGATATGACGATGAGCGGCAATCCAACTTATGCAAGACACGATAACAATAACAAGGCAGTAGAGGCACCACCAGCAGCAGCAGCACCAGGCGCAACGGTGGTGGGTAAGTTGTCCTTCGTTAGAGATGACAGGACAAGATTTGATCTACAGGACTTGCTAAGAGCATCCGCGGAGGTGCTTGGCAGTGGGAACCTGGGGTCCTCTTACAAGGCACTACTTATGGATGGCCAAGCCGTTGTGGTGAAGAGGTTTAAGCAAATGAACCATGTCGCTAAAGAAGACTTCCACGAGCACATGAGGAGGTTGGGCAGACTAAGCCACCCGAACCTACTCCCCCTTGTCGCCTATTATTATAGGAAAGAAGAGAAGCTGCTTGTTTATGACTATGCCTCCAATGGTAGCTTGGCCAGTCACCTCCATGGTATGTATATGTATATTAATTAATTAGAGTATATACGTGAGTTTAAATTATTAATTACTCGGCTCTGTGTGTGTATATATATGTAGGCAATCACTCTAGGCTGGACTGGTCAAGCCGCTTGAAAATCATAAAAGGAGTTGCAAAGGCGTTGGCCTACCTTCACAATGAGCTGCCAAGCCTAGCACTTCCGCATGGTCACCTCAAGTCATCAAATGTACTTCTGGACAAATATTCTAATCCGTTGTTGATGGATTACACATTGGTGCCCCTGGTGAATCTTTCCCAAGTCCAACATCTTCTAGTGGCTTACAAAGCTCCCGAGTATGCACAACAAGGCCGCATCACAAGGAAGACTGATGTTTGGAGCCTTGGGATTCTAATACTAGAGACCCTCACCGGTAAACTCCCAACAAACTACCTTGCTCTCAGCACTGGCTATGGCACCGAATTGGCTACCTGGGTCGACACCATCATTAAAGATAATGAATCGGCTTTTGACAAAGAGATGGACCAGCTCACTCATCAAGGACAGATCCAAAAGCTCTTCAACATTGGAGTGGCTTGCTGTCAAGAAGATTTGGATACAAGGTGGGATCTCAAGGAAGCTATTGAAAGTATACAAGCCTTAAATGACAAGGTCGACGATCAAGTTGATGTTGGATTTTAATTTTAACATCGATCGTACGTACAACAATACATATACTCAACCCCATTAGTTAATTCCCCTCTCTATATTTATATGTGCATTACATATCATGTTTGTACACATTTTCATTGTATAGTACTTCTCTAAATTACTCAAGGCGTAACTAGACTTGCATGCCAATCGATCGGTCTCTCACTCCATAAGTATTCGACCCTACCATTTGCAAGTATATATGTACATCTAGAACTTTGTTTAGCTCTAAAATTTTCTGGTTTAATGGGTTATGGGGTCGTTTGGTTTATCAATGATTAAAAGCAATACATAGAGTATTTATTAGTGGCGACCCATGACTGTCACGGCAAAAGACGCCTTTTTAGGCGAATAAACTTGCCACTAAAAATAAACAAATACGCCACCAAAAAGTTTTAGAAATCCAATATCAATGTTGACAATTATTTTCAATTATACCTTTAAAAATATTATGTAGTTCTAAAAAAAACTGTGAAACTATAAGGTATTATATCTTGTGGATTACAAAATAATAAAAAAAGTAAAAGTGATCGAGATGTGAGGCACTCTTCAGGTCAGCGCTCAGCATTTTTTGCCGACGGTTCAGCACACCTCTAATTCAACTAGTTTTCTTTTCCGGGAATGAATTAGCCTAGAGGAAAACAATAGGAATAATTTAATATAAGGGTGACTAACGGACAAGTGGACTCATGACTAGACCGATTTTTGCTTGTGCCGGAACGACCCACATAAAGCTGGAGCATTGGGTTGAGTTGGGCACTTTAGTGGACTGTACGCGCACGGGTCAAAGTGGCGTACCAGACGCACTGAAACTATCAATAGCTGCTTAGTCTCGAGATTATTGTTATCACATCATTAATATGAGATAAAAATAACACTATAATCTTAAGGTAAATTATCCCGCAATCTTATTCCAATAAAATATAGGATAAATTTATCCTAAAATTTATTTCAGAATTGATTATCTCTTATCCCTCCTCATACCAAACGAGACCTTAAGCTTTTAAAATTTAATCTAAATATTTTTCTTCATATTGTCAATGACTATTTTTAAAAAAAATATTCAAATTTAATAAATTATAAAGCAACTAATTAAGCAATGGTAGCTCTTTTCTTCAACAACATCAGAAAACACCACCCATGTTAATGTATTTTTGTGATGAATTGACTGTGAAAAGAGGAGATGGGTTTTATGGAGGTCCTGTTGGTGTTTTCTGGTGTTGTTGTTACTAGTTCTTATCGTGGAGGCTGCTAGTCAGAAAACAATTGTAAGCGAGATGTTTTCTCCGGTGACTAATGACTATTCACATTTGGTGTTTCTCACAAAAGAAATGTTAAAAATAATATTTCACCCACACAAAAAATGAATTTATATTTTTTTTTGTTTTACAAATATCAGTTTAAGTTATAATGTTAATTCATTAATAAAGTTTATGTTGCAATCTGTTTTTAAAACTAAATTAAAAACATTCCATAGCTTGGCTATTGTTAATTTTGAGAATAATTAATAGGAGTCGTTATATAATTTTAGGAAAATTAAGAAACCGTTTTAAAAAATTCTTTTTTTGGAAGAAAACCTTTAAATAAACAAGAAGCGGATCGCGATTGACAAACGGAATTAAAAATTTGGCTAACTTTAAAAGGAAAACTTTAAATTACTTGTGAAAAATAAAACTTATTTAAGAATTAATAAAAAATGACAGGATATGGGAAATTCTTAAGTCATTCTTATAAAGTCCTAAGTTTGTTTAAAAGACAAACTAATTAGTTTAAGAAACTTAACAATTTATCCGAGTAAAAAAATTAAACTAAATAGTAAGTTCAAATTCATAAGCATGAATTCAAAGCTTTTCAATAATTATGAAAGAAAATGAATGCTTCTTAAGTTATTCTGTAAGTTTAGATATGTTGTAACTAAAACGAGTTTAAATTTTTGAATAATTAAAGCAAAACTAGTAGGTGTGCAAAAACCGAACTGATCGATAAATTGAACCGAAAAAAGTGTTATTGATTTATTGTTAATGGGTTATTAGGTTAACGGTTATTTAATGATTTTATAAAAAAATATATATAGGGTTATTGGTTCGATATTGGTTTTTTAATATTGGGTCAATCGATAACCCATTAAAAACATAGTAATTTACTATTTTAATTTTAGTCATACACAAATATCAAACAAAAAATATTAATATAATCACTATATTAGACTATATTATAGTCTAAGGTTTGCAACAAAAACGTAGGCAACGGCTAAGGCTTACTATACTAAGTATATTTTTGCACTCAATGAGTAATTTGATTTCTCTCTTTTTAATTTTGCATTAAATTGTTGGACAAGTCATACATTTATTTTGAAAGCATTTTCTTATGGGAAAAGGTAGAGCCGTCAATATGGGCTAGGCACGTTGGGCCGGCCTGGCCTAACCCGGGATTTAATAGGGCTGGGTTAAGATTTTTGGAGCCTATTTAAGAAAAGGGCTTTTTAGCCCGGCCTGAATAAGCCTGCTGATTTGTGGGGCTTGAGAAATATAGGTAGGGCCAGCCCGTGGGCCAAATAAAAATAATTAAAAAAATATAATATAATATTAAAATTAAAGAGAGTCCAAACTCAAAATCTATTTAATATTTAACTAATTGAAACCGCATATAAATTACAGATGAAAATGAAGATGTTAAGACAACCTTGCCACAAGCTGATTCAGATATGCTTGATGAAGATGATCATGAAGTGTTGGATATGCCATAGATTTCATGATGTGTTAGATACGCCATAAGTTTATGTATTTTTTTTAAGGAGTTTATTTTTAACTTTTTTATGGTTGGAATATTGTCACATATTTTGTGTTTTAATGTGACAAAACAATTAGGTTAATATTTCTATTTAAATATTTATATTTTTATTTGAAAAAACCTTAATAAATATTATAAAGATAATTTTATTTGTGGATTTGATTAACAAGTAGTAACATTAACACTATGTAATATTGTTTTGTCGATATTTATGACAATTTTTTTAAATTATAATTTATAATTTATTTTAATAAGCTTTAACGGTTTCGTTTTCTATTTAACCAATAAGAAAAGGGAAAAGGGTCAAAAATACCCCTCAACTTTGGTTTATTGTTTAACTTAATCCTCGCTGTTAAAATAAAGTTAATTTTACCCCTCCCGTTACTAATTTCACCAAAATTACCCCTTATTAGACGAAATTCCCAAAATTGACCCAAATTACTCGAATTTAAAAAAAAAACCTATTCCCTATTTTAACCCAATGCCCTGCCCGATAACCCAATTCCCTATTACCCATTCCCATTTACCCATTCTCTCTCTTTGAATAGATAATCTCCTTTTCTCCCGAGATGGTCATTGAGACTATTGAGAAGGTAGTTGAAAATCTTGGTGCATCTGATATTGATTCTCGACTAGAAGAGCTGTTAATTGATGGTATCCTTTATGCCTTCCAAGAGCAAACCAGTGACGATGCCAATGTGATGCTTAACGGATTTGGTGCTGTTGTAAATGCCCTTGGCCAAAGAGTTAAGCCATACCTTCCTCAGATTTGTGGTACTATAAAATGGCGACTGAACAACAAGAGTTCCAAAGTGAGACAGCAAGCTGTAGATCCGATATCCAAAATTGCAGTAGTTATGAAGCAGTGTAGGGAAGAACAACTAATGGGCCATCTTGGTGTTGTCTTGTACGAGTACTTGGGAGAAGAATACCCAGAGGTTTTAGGATCTATACTGGGGGCTCTCAAGGCTATTGTGAATGTTATTGGTATGACTAAAATGACTCCTCCAATTAAGGATTTGCTTCCTCGGTTGAAGAAACGTCATGAGGAAGTCCAGAGAATTGTATTGACCTTGTTGGTCGAATTGCAGATCATGGTGCTGAATTTGTTCCTGCAAGGGAGTGGATGAGAATTTGTTTTGAGCTTCTTGAGATGCTTAAAGCGCACAAGAAAGGTATCCGCCGAGCAACAATGAACACATTTGGGTATATTGCTAAAGCCATTGAACCTCAGGATGTGCTCGCAACATTGTTGAACAATCTTAAGGTGCAGGAACGTCAGAATCGTATCTGTACGACTGTCGCAATTGCTATTGTTGCAGAAACCTGTTCTCCCTTTACAGTCTTGCCTGCCTTGATGAATGAATATCGTGTGCCTGAGCTTAATGTCCAGAATGGTGTCTTGAAATCCCTCTCCATCCTTTTCGAGTACATCGGAGAAATGGGCAAACTTCACAATTCAGGAGAAAAGGAGATTATCTATTCAAAGAGAGAGACGGGTAAATGGGAATGGGTAACAGGGCATTGGGTTAATCGGGTTATCCTAAATGGGGCGGGTCCTTGGGTTAAAAATAAGAAATAGCTTTTTTTTTTAAAAAATTCGGGTGATTTGGGTCAATTTTGGAAATTCCGTCTAATGAGGGGTAATTTTGGTGAAATTAGTAACGGAAAGGGTAAAATTAACTTCATTTTAATAGCGAGGGTAAAGTTAAACAATAAACCAAAGCTGAGGGGTATTTTTGACCCTTTTCCCTTTTCTTATTGGTTAAATAGAAAACGAAACCGTTAAAGACCAAAAATTAATAAACCGAAAATCGATAACAAATATGTTATTGATTTGGTTATCGGTTAAGCATATTTAAAATCGAAAATCAAACCGATAATACTTCAACCATATATAATTGGGTTTGAACCCAAAACATTCTCGTTTTCAGCTTTCTTGAGCTCCTATTGCTACCGGTTTCTTGGATTTAATCCCAATAATATTAACTTTCTTTTAATTGACTTAAAGGGGTTGACTTGAGGAAGAAATGTATGCAAGGAAATGGAAGTCATATGGACTCGTTATCAAGCAGTTCAAGCACAAAGAAATAAAAGAATCAAGGATTAGAGAGTTCAAAAGAGGAACCTCTTAAAATATAGTAGACATAAACTGGAAAAAAACAAAAAATTGCCAATAGATGATCAAAGTGAACTACTGCATTATTAACCAAGAAAATGACTTAAGCTTGACTACACAAAAAATAATTAAACATATACAATTTTAACAGTTTATTACTCGGAAGGACTAAGCCCAAATACTTTGACATCCTTTAGGGATCGTTTGGTTGGTGTGAGGGATAAGAGAAATTAATCTCGAGATAATTTTTGAGTGTCCTTTAATCCTCGTTTGGTTGCAAAGGATGGATAAACTTATCTCAGGATTAATAATTAGTACTAGGATAAGTAATCCCTCCCTTAGTGTGGAATAATAATCCCAGGATAACTTATCATGGGATAAAGTATGCAAAATAACATAAATACTCCCTTAAATCTCTTTTATATACCACTTTTACATCATGTACATTAACATAATTTTTAATAACATTCACAACCTTAATTAATTGTTGTTTATGATAAAAATTTTTTTTAATTATTACATTTTATAAATACAATTTTTATTTATGAATATATTATGAGTTGAATTTATTTGCCTAATTCTTATGTTCATTTATATTTTAATTTCTCTTAAAATGTTCACTTCACTACTAAATTACATATTTTTAATTAATTATTTTATTACTCACTTAAAATTATATTTTATATATCAATTAAAATGTAGATAACTTTAATAATAAAGTTTCTTTTACTTAAATAAACTTAAAATGAAAGTTTTATTTTTAAGTTAAATAAGATTGAAAATTTTATTTTTAAGCTAAATAAGATGGAAGTTTTATTTTTAAGCTAAATGAGATGAAAGTTTTATTTTAAAGATAAATAAGTTGGAAAAATTATTTTTGAGCTATATAAGATGAAAGTTTTATTTTAAAGTTAAATAATAAAAAAACAAGGAACAATCATGGAAATGCAAACCAAAAAATACTTAAGTTAAATAAAATGGAAATTATATTTTTAAGAATGAATAACTAATTAACCCGCAAAGAAAATGTTTTAAAAAAATAATTAAGGCGGAGGTATTTTTGTAAACAATCAACTTATTCTTAGAAATTATGCCATGAATAGAAGTTTGAATATGACAAACCAAACAAGCAATAAAAACTACTCCGATCCCAACATAACTAATCTCAGTATAACTTATTCCGACATAATTGATCCCAACATAACTTATCCAAGCATAACTTGTATTCAAACCAAATGAACCCTTTGTGATTTAGGAAGACTTTTTTTTGTTGGGGCAGGCCAACATGTATCAGTTTTTACAAAGATATGATGAGATGATATCGAAATGCAACTTATCACTTAAAGAAAACAAGATCAAACAAAATTTGCCAACGAGGTACAAGAAAAGTTCATGCAGACCTCCTTTAATTGCTCATAATAGAGACTAAAAGCGAGAAGTGAGCTAATGACTTCATATTTAATCAAATTTGGACCTATTCTAGTTCTAGAAATAAGACAAAGACTAGGTAAAACTAAGCACCTAGATACATATTCTTGAGCACATACATGAATCATTATCAAATTAACACAACATTTAGACAAATTGAAATTCATTATAAGCAGCAAATGATATAACGAGGTTAGCATTATGGTGACCAAAAACAATCACAGTTATCAAGGATATATATGGTAGGATGTCTACTATCTTAGTATTCACAACACATTATTTATAAGGAACTTAAATAACAGTGAATTAGCAAGAATCTCCTTAATCAATAAACATCATTGGTAGGTGTAACTGATACGATACATGAGGAAGAGAGAAAATAAGCAAACAAATTCATATTCAGATTGATTTAGTCATCACAACAGGGAGCATAGCCATAACTCATAAGTCAATATAAACTACTTTAGTTCTCAAAATATGAACAGTAGCCCTTTTCTTTTCCTGAAATATTACTAGAAGGTCTGAAATCATCTTAAAAGTGATAAAATAATCAAAATAAGACAGTCTTGACCATTGAATCTCTTCAATCACATATCATATATATATATAAAAGAGTACTCTAGGCCCGCCTACGTGGCGCCACCACAAACAAGGATTCCCTTTTAATTTATTTATTTTCAAATCTAGCCTTCCCTTTCATGAAAAGTTGTGACTTTTATGAAAAATTGTGACTTTTACGAAGAGCTGCGACTTTATAAAGAGTTACGACTTTTAGGAAGAGTTGCGACTTTTATGAAAAGTTGTGACTATTATGAAAGGTCGTGATTTTTCAAAAGAGATGTGACATTTCCAATAAGGCACAATAAGCATTTGTTCACACTATCTTTTGTTGTGTATAAATAGACGGATTTCCTCTCATTTTAAAATAACAAAAATTATGAACTTCTTCTTCTGCACAATTAAATATTCGTGTACTTTGCTCATGTTGAGTGGCTCACTGACATCATTGTTTTTGCAGCAATATATTGGTGAATAGAATCATTCTATCCTGAGAGGATCTATTCCTTTAAATCTCGGGTTCTAGAGAAGAATAATTTCTTGAAGGGGACAATGTGCATTCAGTGGGCTCATTTTTTCCTTTCTATTTCATTTTATTGTTACAGATTCTGGTATATTTTTTTACAGTCATTAAATTATGCTTATGTTATTAATTGTTGTTGTTTAGTACATGTTTTAAGCTTTGTTGTTTATGTTTATGTTTTTTATCATTATGTTGAAGTAAAGATATGTTAATCAAGAGTTTGATGTAATCATTAAACTATTGGTGTCGTGTAGATTAGAATTCTTAAACTTGTAAAATAAATTACTTTGATCTTTATAGAGTTTTCAGTGGCTAAAAGATCCTTGGGATGTCCAAGAAGGGACTTTTCAGTGTTCAGAAGTTATGGTGGTTCCACACTACCTTGAAGTTTTAATTATTCAACTTCCTATCTTATCGAGGCATTCAATCGATTAGTGACATCCAAAAAATAAAGGAATGTAGTGGGATGGTAAATATTGTACTCAACCTTAATCAAAAGTTTGGGGTTCAAATGTTGGATTGGAGCCAATGAATTACCCCTCAAAGTAGGATGAATCCATATTAATCAAATATTAAAGAAATAATTATCTCCTTATAAACAGTAGATCAAAAGTCGCAAAAAAAAGTAAAGTTTTAACCATATTGATCGAAACATAAACAACAAAATATGCCTTTTGGCTATCAAAGTAGTGTCATCGATTACGAATAATTATGAATAAGGGCCTTGTCAAGACATCATTTGATCCAAATTATTTGAGCGAGATACGTTATTCAATTAAACTCCAAGAGATGCGTTTTTAAATTTTAATTAACTTATCAAGTACACAACTATAATTATATAAGAGGTATAATATTTAGATTCTGTATGAAAGATTTTTAGCTATGGAAGAGAAAAGGCCCAAAATAGTCCCACATCTTTGTGTTAAGACTCAAAGTCATCCTTGAGTTTTCACATGGAGCATTAATAGTTCCTCATGTTTGCAATATTTGTGCACTTTTGGTCCTCCTTCAAAATTTTGCCTAATGTTTTTTAACATTGATTTTATTCATAATTTATGTATGGAATGTTTAATCGTCATTTTATATATTTAGTAGAAATAATAACTCCATGTGAGAGATTGTGAGAAAAAAAAAACACCTTGGTTTGTTTAGTAGAAATCGTATTGCAGGTAAAGTCGAGAGACTCATCACGATGATTTCACGTGCAATAGTACAATTTTTTCTTTTCTTGCAATGTTATATGCTAAAATGTTCTTAGTTTAGCTGCAATAATATTTATATTGAATAGAACAAGGTGTTCTTCTTCTCACCTTCTCTCACATAGAGTTATTATTTCTACTTATGAACAAAATTAATGTTAAAAATAGGCAAAAGTTTAGGGGAGGACCAAAAGTGCATCAATATTGCAAACATGAGAGACTATTAGTGATTCATGTGATTTTGAGTCTTAACCCAAAGATGAGGACTATTGATCTAGGGAATTTCTTGACCAAAACTAATGTGGGAGCACTTAAAATTCAATCTTCGAGGATAAGGTTAAAGCTGGATGATTTGTACGGATTCCTACTATTTAGAACGGAAACGGGAAAAAGGATAAGGAAAATTACCGTTGGAGAATTTCCTGGAAGCTTCGAAATGCCTCACTGGCATGCGGACTCGTGCCGAGCACGCTAATATATACGGATTCATATGAAAATTTGAAGAAACGGGGTCGTTCTGATGATGGGTCGGAGCTTCTGGAGGTTGTTCTTCGTTGAAGAAGAAGAGAGGGAAAGAGGGGCACGTAAGGCTGAGTTGCTGTTTTCTTTGAGAGCGTGGAAAGGAAAAAGAAAAGAGAGATTAAGACTCTTATCTCATACATTTTACAAGTAAAATTTGGTAAATAGTGTTTGTCTATATAATTTGTCATTATTTGGCAAATACTTTTAGTAAATAACCCAAATTTTTAAATACT